CAGCTCCCAATGAGCAACGTGCTTCGCGAGCAGCCAGGGGTCGGTCGCGGTCGGGCGTCGCCCGAACGCCGCGCGAGCATTGACGAGCACCAGGTTCCACGGCCCGATCCCAGTCGGGGCATCTTCGAGGCCCCCTCTGGCCGCCATAGTCGGCGTAGCCTGGGAGCTGCCGAATCAATGGCGCGCTCCACGGCGGCGCCGTAAACGACGCAGCGCGAGAGATCTCTCCGTCGAGCTGGGCCATGCTCGGAGCGCGGCATGCCGCGTGGGAATGTCTGCGAGACATCCCGCCCGAACAGGTCTCAACCTGCCTGCGCAGCGCTGACCACGTCGCGGGGCTGGCCCCAGCGGGGCGCGGTACCCGAAGAGGTGGCGATGTCCACTGCTTGCGCGTCCTGGTAGCCTCGCGCCGCCATGCGGGCATTAACCTGCCGCGCCGCGCCGACGGCCGCCTTCTGCCCCGCCCGCGGCCGCGCCGACGGCGTGAGCTTCATCGCGGGCACCCACGTAGCGTCGGGGACTTTTCGGGCCTCTGAGCGGGGCTGCCGCTCGAACGAGCGCAGGCCGCGTCGTCTCTCGAGCTCGCGGCCTGCTCGACGGCCTCCTTGTTGGCGAATGCCTCGCCCACTGACAGAATGCTGCATTCCTTTTCGATGAGGGCCGCCTGCCCGGCGTTCCGGGCGCAAGCGCCATGCGATTCGCTCGCGGTGCCCGAGGCGCGGGCAGTCCTTGGTGAGGTGCTGGTCGGAGACGCGCCCGCGGCAGAGAAAGCGCTCAACCGTCTCGCCGATCGGGTGGAGCACCCGGACTCCGGACAGCGCTCCAGGGGGCTCATTGGCGCGCCCCCCGCCGCCAGCGCAGGAGTTGGAGTTGACGGGCCCCCCCTGCGCGCAGCGGCGGCGGGCGAGAGTTCAAGCCTCGCCCGCCGCCCGCGGCACGGGCCCCCGAAGACCGCAAGTAAAAGCCCTTAGCCAGATCCTCACACTGACCCTTCCCGAGACGATGACGACGCACGGGGCGGCCCGTGAAACTACGGCAGCGCCTGTTGGCCACCAGGAACTGGCGCCGCCGCTCGTCGTACGTGACGTTGGTGATGTCGCTGTTTTGATACTCGAGGTTCTCGGCCTACGCGCCCTCGAACTTGCCCTCGCGCTCGGCGTCGGGTTCGCCGCAAGAGCTCGTAACGTCCACGGGCCACTCGCGCGGCGAACGTGGACTCCCTTCGGTAGTCCGGTAGTCCACTGCCCGTGCGGTGAACTACTTCTGCAAGCGAAATTAACTTCCCTTCCCCCGGTCGCCCCACAGCCGCATAGGAGTCTATGCCTTAACCGCTATGGCCGCCACTGCCCCTGGCTAGTGACATGCCGTAATCGCTATGGCCGCCACTGCCTCTGGCGACTGACTGCTCCGCCCAGTGCGAACCGAGGTCCGCTGGGAAGCGCCAGCCCTCCTCGAGGGTCTTGGCGACGGCGTGCGAGCGTTCCAGAAGATGGCGCTGGTCCCGAATCTGTGCCAGGAGCTCCTCGAAGCCTGGTACGTTCCGTGGGAAGCGCCCCCCCCGTGGGCGTCCAGCAGGAGAGGCCAGTGCATGTTGTGGATATCCAGCTGGTGGAGCAGCACCCAGATGAGGCCGCTTACGCCCATCTGGAAGTCCCCGAGCTCGTTGGCCCGCTTACCGATGAACTCCAAGCGGCCCAAGCAAAAGTCGATCGGATCGCGCGACAGCCGGCTGAAGGTGAGGAGCTCGATGACCGCGGAAACGGGGGTCTCGAACCCTCAGGCGCCGAAGTTACGGGCGAGCCCGTTGAGGGGCAGACCGAAACCACGACTGGGTTCGCGTTGAGGTCGAAGACCTGGTGGCCAATGGCGTCGGGCTGTGCGCGGCCGTTGCGCAGGATGCCCGGGTCCTCGCGGGCGCACCGCCGGTCCCCGTCGCCGATGCGCTGGACCACTGCGCCGCCCTGGGCATCAACGGCCAGCTCTGAGGCGGTGCTCCATATGCGGACGTCCTTCATGTACGTCTGGGGCGGGTCGCCCTGGAGTTCCAGCTCAAAAACAAAAAAGAACGAATAATCAGAATAGCCCCCCCCAAGAAAAAAAACACGAAACATCGTCATCATGCACATGCTTACACTGCTTGAAGGTCCCTCTTGTGGAGAAACGTGCCCGACTCAACGCTCGACGTCCGCAGGTTCCCGCCCTTCCGCCGCCCTCCGCCGAGGACGAGACGGGAACTCCTCCGACGCTCGAGGGTGAGCCCCCTGTGCGCCCCCCCCCCCCCACCCCCCTTAACGGGCCGCCCGCTGTCGGGGAGGGAGGAGGAGGAGGAGGAGGAGGAGGAGGAGGAGGAGGAGGAGGAGGAGGAGGAGGAGGAGGAGGAGGAGGAGGAGGAGGAGGGGAGCAGGAGCAGGAGGAGGAGGAGGAGCAGCAGGAGGAGGAGCAGGAGGAGGAGGAGGAGGAGGGAGGAGGAGGAGGCCCCGAGGTGAGGCCCCGGCCCTGCCTCCAGACGACGCAGTCGGTCACCGCGACGACCTCCTCCAGGCTCCTGTCGCAGGTGCCCAGGGCCTGCGCGTGCGGCAGGAGCGCTGCCAGCCGCAACGGCCCCCCCCCCCCCCCTCGGCGTCCTCCTCCCCTACCCCTCAAAGCGATTGCGGCTTCCTCCTCCTCCTCCTCCTCCTCCTCCTATCCTTACTCCTTGCTCTTATGTATATGTATATGTATGTATGCAAGTGTGTATATATATATATATATATATGTCTATATTCTGCCCCCCACCGCCGACGACCGATGGCAACCGGATCAAGGACCCCCCATCCCACATGGGGAATTGAACATACGTATATAACCTCAGCGACCTTCGTCCCAGCATGGTCACTACTGTACGTCGCCCATGTTGCAAAATGCGTGGCAGGAGTAGTAGAACGTGGCGCGCAGTGGGACGCGGCCCGAAAGGCCGACATGTCGTTCTCGCCCCGGCGCCGCGCTCGTGTGGCCCGAGAGCTGCGTTCCCGTTGGGGCGCGGCGCGCACTTGTTGCACGCCGCACCGTCGACGCGCGAGCGAGCGTGAATGCCGCTCCCGCCTCGGCGCCGCGCAGGACTTCGCCCGAGCGTGGCGCTCCCGCTGCGGCCGGCGCATACGCGTCCCTCGCCGACCGATTGGGGGGACCCGCGCCGAGCGGGCGACCTGCCGCCCTCGCCCCTGCTCCGCGCACGCACTTGCCGCTGGGCAGCGGCGCTCCCGCGCCGGCGTGGCGCGCAGGGCCCGCGCGCCCAGAGCGCAGGGCGCAGGAGCGCGCCAGGCGACGGCGGCCGCGGGGCCGCGCGGGCTGCGAGCGAACGAGCGGCAAGGCGGCGTCGGCGCTGCGCAGTGCTCGGTCGTCGCCACGCCCATCGGGAGGCTTTACCGCTCCCGCCCCTGCGCGGGCCACGTACATTTCTCTGCGCCGAGTCGTCGGACGCGAGGCCGCGCAGGAGCGGCTTCCGTCCGCGAGGTGGGGGCGCGTTCCAATCCCGATATCAACCTGTGACGCGACTGATTCCTATGCTGTGGGAGAGAGGGTGGGAGTAGGTGGGACCCTCGGGCTCGCTCGACCTGGCCAACTTGACTCCTACACGTTTTCCTCTTCCTCCTACCCCCCTCCTCGCCCCTCCACCCCCTCGCCCCTCCACCACTTCCTCGCCCCTCCACCCCCGCCTCCTCCTCCTCTTCCTCCTCCTCCTCCTCCGTCCTCCTCCTCCTCCTTCTTCCTCCTCCTACTCCTCCTCCGCCTCCTCCTCCTCCTCCTCCTCATTCGTCCTCCTTCTTCCTCCTTTTTCCTCGGCAAGCCGCACAGCGAAGGATCGAAGCGTCAGCCTCCTTCCTCCCTCCTCCTCCTTCCTCCTCCTGCGTTCAGGGCGGGGTGCCCTCGGAGCACCAGGGGTGCCTGGGGCCCTCCTCGCCTGCGCAGCAGGGGCGGCGAGGCGACTGCCGGGGGTATGGATCCCTGTCGGGCGGACGTGAATGCGGGTCACGGTCGGGCTGCTGGCACCAGCCCTGGCGAGGTCCATCCTGGTCCCCCCCGGACTGGTGCCCAGGCCCGCCTGGCCTCTTTAGGCCGGGAAGTGGCCCCGGGATGGACCTGGCCAGGGCCGGTGGTGGTGCGCTGTGGGCGCCCTTCCGATATGTCGGCGTGCGTGAGACGCTTTTCCGTTGGAGTCGTCGTCGTCGTCGTCGTCGTCGTCGTCGTCGTCGTCGTCGTCGTCGTCGTCGTCGTCGTCGTCGTCGTCGTCTTCGTCGCCGCTCCCCCTCGAGCGCTCCAGCCAGAGAGAAATCGAGCAGCGTCGCAATCGAGTCGAAAGGAGGCCCCTTCCCTTGGATCCCTCCTCCGTGGGGGGGGTCCCAAGAGGGGTGAGGAGAGGGTCCCGTGAGGCGGGGCTCCCGCGGGTTGTGACTCCCCCTGAGAAATGTTTTCGGCTCCAGAGCGTCAGCGTCGTTGGCATCATCGCCGTCGTCGTCGTCGTCGTCGTCGTCGTCGCCGCCGCCGTAGTCGACGTCATCGTCGCACCATTGTCGCCGCCGTCATCGTCGTCATCGTCCTCGTCGGGCCGAGGTCGACTTATTTCTCATTTCGTGCCCCTTCTCTTCGATTGCACACTATATGAATCCTGAGCTTGCAGCTTGGGTTCGTGCATCAGAGGCTGCGGTGATATCGTGGCTGCGGCCCCCATCTCCTTGCCCCTCATCCGTGTCACGTCGGACAGCGCTGCTCTATCATCTTCTCACATGCTCTTGGATGCTGTTGCTCCCGTGTGCTGGCGTATCCGTGCAAAGCGTTACCTTCGCTGTCAAGTGTCACAATGGTTTGCTTTGGTCTCTAGAGTCTCGCAAGGTGCGGTCTGCGCTCTGCACCCGCCTCTCTCCGTCTTCCTCGTGAGTCGCTGCGCCGTGCACCCTTCTCGCCACAGGGCTCCTCATAGAGGGCAACGTGCTGTGCGACACCCTGTGGGCGTCCCCACTCATTCCTCGTTCTTCGCATTCAGCCCCCGTCTGCTTCCTCCGCTCAGGCCACCCTGAGGCTTTGCCGTGCTTGAAACTAACACTCGGTGGCTTCGCAAAGTGCCTGGCTGTATTGGATCTGCCGTGCGTGGCACCGCTCGTTCATGCGTTCCCGCACTTCCTCGGGAAGGCAGAAAAGCCATCCTCCTGAGGAGCAGCCCCGCAGGGAGAGTCCCTTTGCAAAACCAGCCGACACGGGAACCAGCCGGGGCGGATCTGCCTGGTACACGCCCAGGGCTGCTCTCCGAAAAGGCCACTCACGGGGTCGGGGTTCCTGTGCCTGTTCTGCGAGGGAGGAGGAGGAGAAGGAGGAGGAGGAGGAGGAGGAGGAGGAGGGGGAGGAGGAGGAGGAGGAGGAGGAGGCACAGCGTCGGTCCGCGGCGAAGGAGGAGGAGGAGGGACTTATATCCATAACCACCACCTGGGGGATCGATCATAAGGGACTCCGGCAGGCGGAGGATGTTGCCATACATAGCTCCCCCCACTCCCAAAGGCAATCGCTGGAATGTATTTCTCGGCCAAGCGCATCGGGTCGGGCCGGCCTGTGAGCCAGCCTCGGAGCCCGATCGGTCGGGTCGGAATGGGCCCCTGGACAGCCGCCGACGCCCGATCGGTCGGGTCGGGCCGGCCTGTGAGCCAGCCCCGAAGCCCGATCGGTCGGGTCGGAATGGGCCCCTGGGCAGACGCCGACGCATCATTCTGTCCCCTGTGCGCCAGCCTCGAAGCCCGATCGGTCGGGTCGGACTGGGCCCCTGGGCAGCCGCCGACGCAGACGCCTCGGACAGGGCCAGGACGAGGACCAATCCGTTCCAGAGCGTTCCGGCGCTCTGAGAAGGCCGCGGCCCCCGAGACGTCTTCCAGAGCCGCCGGAGCCCAGAGATTCCCGATTCACCCCCACCCGAATTTATTCAGGAGGAGGAGGAGGAGGAGGAGGAGGAGGAGGAGGAGGAGGAGGAGGAGGCCCCTGGGCAGCCGCCGACGCCTCATGTCGTCCAGCCCGCGGCCCCCGGAGGAGGTCCCGGCCGCGCCCCTGGGGCCCAGGAGGCATGCCCGCTGCCCCGAGGCCCGAGGCCAGACAACGGCCCGCAGGCTCGAGGAAACGAGCACCATGTCGTCGTCGTCGTCGTCGTCGTCGTCGTCGTCGTCGTCGTCGTCGTCGTCGTCGTCTTTGTCGTCGTCATTGTCGTCGTCTTTGTCGTCGTCTTTGTCGTCGTCGGCGTCGTCGTCGTCGTCGTCGTCGTCGTCGTCTTCGTCGTCGCTGGCTGGTGGTCCTCGTGGGCGTGGCTGTCAGCGCCGCCCCCCGCCGCGGGCGAGCTGGGGCCTCCAGCAGGCCCCACCACGCCGTCCACGCCTTGCCCGACGCGGCGCGCAGCGTCCGGGTGGTGAGGCCGTCCGCACCGCCTCTGCGGGGATGGCAGGGGGTGTGGGGTGGGGGAGGCAACGACGCGGCAAGGGCATCGGATAAAAACCATTGGATCATTTCGCCGGCCCAACGGGCCAGAGGCCTGCTAAGGGCTAAGATCTCCGGCACCTGCTTTACAATAACTCTACGTAGCGCTCGCGGGGCGGCCCCTGGGGGTCCCCGGAAGAACAGTACCCCGGGCGAAGCCCGGGCGCTGCGGATCAGAGATGGTTTTCCTCCTGGGCGCCGCCCTCGGGGCCGTCCAGAGAGCCCTAAAAAAAGGCCAAGAGGCCGCCAAGAGCCCCTCAAGATGATACAAGAGAGCTCCGAGATGCCACAAGATCGCTCCAAGACGCACAAGATGCCCCCCAGACGGCCCAACACGCCTCCCATAGCACTCGCAAGAGGGCCCCAAGAGGCAAAAGTCATTGCTTCTCCTTAGATTTCGGGCAGATTTGGGCGTTTCCACCTTTTCGGCTTCAACACCCCAAGACGGCCCAAGAGGCCCCCAAGACCGCCCCAAGAGGGCCCAAGAGGCCCTCAAGAGGGCTCCAAGACGGCCCAAGAGGACCCCGAAACGGCCCAAGAAGCTTCCAAGATGGCTCAAGAAGGCCCCAAGAACGCCCCAAGGGAGGTCCCAGGGGGGGAACACGAATCAAAATTTCGAGCTCTCGGCCCTAAGAAAGCCCCAGGAGTCCCCAAGAGGCCCCTAAGAGGCCCCCAGACGCCCCCAACAGGCCCTCAGGAGGCCTCCAAGCGGCCCCCAAGCGGCCCCAGGAGTCCCCCAAATGCCTCCCTGAGCACGCAAGCAAGTGCCAACGACCCGACGCGTTTAAGGGTCCCCACCAGGCCACCAAGAGGCCTCCTGAAAGAGTCCCCATCGGCAAAACGCTTCCAGACGGCCCGCGACGCGTTCAAGACTCCTCCAGCGGCCACCAAGAAGCCTCACATGCCGAACGCAAAGGCTGATAGAAACAACCGCCGCCCCTGCAGCTCCGCACCGCGAAAGACCACTCGGTCAGTCGACAACAGCACGCAACGGCACGCAGCGATTCAATAATCCAGTGTCTGAAACCTGGTGGAACACACGCGCGCACGCACGCACGCACGCACACACCCACACACACACATACACACATTCACACATTCACACATTCACACATTCACACACACACACACACACACGCACACACGCACGCACGCACGCACGCACGCACGCACGCACGCACGCACGCACGCACACTCACATTCACTCACACTCACACTCGCACTCATCCCGAATCGTTGTTTGACGGTCCCGAGGGCCGGTGAGGGCCTCCAGAGGCCGTCAATACAGAAAAATCTCCCGTCGTATTTTTCATAACCCATGGGGTCTGAAGTCACGGTTGTTTGATGTTGATGTTTGTGAACACCCCCAACGCCCGCAATGTGATATCCGCGGACTGCGCAGCGATGTGTCGATCTGCCGACTGGTCGCTGGCGATGCCAACCAAAATTGAATCGGAGGCTTATCGGCGCGTGAAGGTTTGCGCTGGAACCACAGTCGCGCGGGTAGTGCAGGATCCTGTGCATCAAGCATAGGGCGGGCCAGCTTGGGGGGGGAATATTTTCGAGATTCGACGTCTGAATGTTCACACGTTGTTCGATTCTCGTTCCGGCCTCGGGTAGCCTTCCAGCAGCCGCGCCTCGCCGAGAGCACTCCTAGGGGTGCCTGGATCCTCCCGAACGGTCGCCGGAGACTCGAGTTCTGGCCCGAATGAGTACCTACCAGACCACCCCAACCCAACCCGAAGACCCGAATTTCGGGTTGGGGGGGGTACGGGTTCCATATGTGTTTTCTCGATGTTCCACGACCCCCCCCAACTGGAAATCGAGGATAAATTGGGGCCTTCGGGTTGGGTTGGGGTGGTTTGGTGGGTGGTGGCCGAAAGCCAGGCGATGAGGATCACTGACCGGGACCAGCTCAGGGGGGGAAGCATCGAACTGGAGTCGACGAGCCATCGCCGCTAAGTCGGCAACAAGCCCCCGATGACTTATCCGCACGGTGCTGGGCGGGGTGGGGCAATCGGGCGCCCGTCGGCGATCAACTGGCGATCGAAGAAAAAGAGAAACAACATTAACCTGATCTTTTGGCGCTCCGCGCAGATCCAAGAAAAATCCGCGCGGAGCGCCAAAAGTGTATGTTTATGGCGTTTGTTCTTCTTCGACGATTGCGGGTCGACGCATCCCCCCTGGCGCCTACTTCCCGCTAACGTTGCCCCTGGGGGGCGGGAGGAGGAGGAGGAGGTGGAGGAGGAGGAGGAGGAGGAAGACCAGTGTAAACCCACGAGCCATCAACGATGTTGGAATACACCCTTCCTCCAGGCTCCCTCTTCATAGGCTTTACAACGATTCATTTCCATTGAGGGAACTGCCTCTTTGGAAGGCAAAAGGCCCTGAAGCATGCCAAAACGTTGCTCTCGGGCTCCCAACGCCACGGATCAACCTGATTGTTGCGTCTTGGCGATCCTGGATCGCGCCAGAACGCCACTCCTGGGAGTTCAACACCGCGAATCAACGTAACTGTTGCACCTGCAACATCTGGAATCCTTCCAACAAGCCATTTTTGGCACGCTGATCATGCAAACCGGTGCAATTCTTGCAAATGCTTTTTAACGAATGTGCGAGGCGCTAAGGCGAGAGCCACATACTGAACAGGAATCGCCCTCAATTCGCGAAGCTCTTGCAAATGTTTAAAGCGAATGTGCGCGGCGCTGAGGCGAGAGCCACATTTTGCAAACGGGTCATCCTCAATTCGTGAAGCCCTTGCAAATGTTTAGAACGAATGTGCGTGGCGCTAAAGCGAGAGCCTCATATAGTAAACGGGTTATCCTCAATCCGTGAAGCTCATGCCAATGTTTAGAACGAATGTAGCGGCGCTAAGGCGAGAGCCACATATTCAAAACCACCCGCCCTCCATCTGTGAAGCTGTTGCCATTTTTAGAGCCTCAGAGCCATTAGGAAGTCTCGTGCGAAACGCCCAGCCCGCCCCAAAAACTGGCCTCGGGGTGCGACAGAGAGAAATTGCTTATAAAGAAAAGGAATGGATGAGGAGGAGGAGAAGGAGGAGGAGGAGGAGGAGGAGGAGGAGCAGGGAGGAGGAGGAGAAGGAGGAGGAGGAGGAGGAGGAGGAGAGGGAGGAGCATGAGGAGGAGGAGGAGGAAGATGAGAGGAGAAGGGCGGAGGAGGAGGAGGACGAGGAGGAGGAGGAGGAGAGGAGGAGGAGGAGGAGGAGAAAGAAGAGGAGGAGGAGGAGGAGGAGGAGGAGGAGGAGGAGGAGATTGCCCCAGGGGGTCGGGGATCGTGGCAGGGTACGCGCCGCCCTGGCGGGCTCGCTGCAGGCTTTTTCGGGGGCGTCCCCTGGGCCTCGCGTGGGCCTCCCAGAGGGGGCCTCCGGTTGCCTCGCCTAGCGTGGGCCAGGGGTCTCGTCTTCGCTCCTCGCCCGTCGCTCGTCGCCCGCGGGGGTTGGGGATCCGGGAGGGAGAGGGGCCAGGGGAGGGGGGGAGAGGGAGGAGCGGGAGGA